CAACAGCCGCCGCCTGGCCCCGCACGGGCGCCCCCCTCCTCGCCCTACCACCCAACTCAGTCCTGCCTGCTCGGGGCCAGGCCGGACTGTTACTCACCCCAGCCCCGCGCTGCCTCTGAGTCTCCTGGGCCTCCCTCCAGCGCTTGCGGAGGAAGGGTTGTGTTTTTTGGCCCCGCCCCTGCCACACCCCCCCCCCACGTCACCTCCCCCCGCGTCCCGATATTTGTCTTGGGTGATCTGGTCACCCTATCTCCAAATCCCATACATGGTCTCAGAGGGCCAGGAGCTCCTTGCATTGAATGCACACGTATGCCACCTGCCCATAGGGCAGATAATCATATGTGCTGCACTGGGTGCAATAAACTGGATAGCCCCCACTCTGTTGCTGGACTTCTGCCTGCATTCTCTATTTACTCCTGAAGCTCCTTCCTTTGTTGTTGTTTTGTTTTTATCAGAGGGTGATTGGCTGTAAGTTTAAAGAATGTTAAGTGTATCTAGCCCTTCCTCACACTCTCACAAAACTCCCCTGTTAGTTGCTCCTGTTCACTAGCTCCTCTGGCCGCTTAGGAGCAGGCTTTTTAAAGCTCTGGTCTCCCTGAGTAGCCCCGCCCCCTGGTTAAGGGTTGATGGGTGCTAAAGGCCATAGGGATCAAAGCATCGTTAAGAAGCTCTCAGCCTTGCCTAGCAGGTCGCTAGACTCAGCACATAGTCCCTCAAGCCAACAGACTACCCCGTATGAGAATGAGTGGATAGGGTGCTGGCCAGAGAGCATAGGTGCTGGAGTTGGGGGTGCTGCCGTACCCTCTGGCTTTAAGTGGTTTCCATTACATCCAGGGTTTACAGTTTGGGTCAATAGCTCTCCGCACTCCCACTATACAGATTGTTCCAGTGCCCTTGCCAGGGAGTCAGGAGACCTGGTTTCTTGTGCTAGCTCTGTCACTGGCTGTGCAGCCTTTAGCACACCTCTGAACCTTTTTACCCTCCCACCATCTGTCTGTTTAGATTGTCCCTTCCCTGAAGATTTTACTACCTGATAGTTTCAGCTGTCCAACACAATGGGGATTGTACTTCTAGATGCTACTGTAATAGAAGTATCTAGAGGTGCTTCTAGTTGGTGCAAAGTACTGTATCCGCATTTACATTTAAGCTTGCTTTGCTGTCAAAAGAGGGCTGTGTGCGCTACTGTGGGATAACACCTGTTAGCTATTCCACTGCAATGGCTTGTCTACACATGGGGTTGTTCCTGAGTAACTCCATATGTGGACCCTTATCTGAAATAAAAGTACCTTGTTCTCATTGCTGTTTAGCTTAACCCACTGGAACCAGGTGTTCTTATTCCAGATAAGTGTCCACACATACTGTTACTCAAGAACTACCCTATGTGTAGACAAGCCCTAAAACCCTAGTGGAGACAAGGCACTTGTAGTGTTTACAGTGACCTCAACCACAGGCAGAGGTATAGGGCTGACCTCACCTAACTACCGCACAGAGAAACTGCCCATGCCTTGTCTCCACAAGGATTTTAGTGTTTTAATTTCCCACGGTAAAAATGCACCTTTTTTTTGCAGCAAAGCTGAAGCCTTGGAGAGGGGTTTCTTTTATAATTTCATCATTTTGATTCTTCAAAATAATGGTATCCACTGGCTTCAGATACAATTGCAAACTCTCCTTTCCCTTCTTCCAACCAACACATCTTTTGAAGTGCCTTATACCAAGCAATTCTGCTTGAGTAGCATCATGAAGCACAAATCCATCCACCACACACAGACGGTAGGCCTTCCATCAGTCACTTCTCACCCTCCTTTTTGGGAGTAGAAATATGCAGCTAATGCTCTGTTACCTCCTTCTGTTTACTTTCCTGTCTGGGAGATCTGATTTTTGGCTGGACTAGCTCAGCAGTCAGGGGCTGCAACTGGAGGTCCTGAAGCTGGCAACCTTGGGTGGATGGGGAAGAAGGGAGGCCTGTTAGAACATTAATTAGTCGTGTGGGCGGGCGTGTGTGGGCGGGTGTGTGTGGGCGCAGGCGCAGGCGCGGGCGGGGGGTGTTCAACGAAGAGAGCTGATGGTCCAAATGACATTTTACAGGTATATTAACTTTTTATTATTATTTTATTTTGTTTCAGGTGGTTAAGACAATAGGCTTGCGTGAAGTATGGTACTTTGGTCTTCAGTATATGGACAACAAAGGATTTCCGACTTGGCTGAAACTTGATAAAAAGGTAATTGCTGTTTTGGGTTAAATATTGAAAAGAGGCTAACTTTTGGTGTAAGAGTCATGTTGTGATATCAATTGCTGATGTCAGTCCTGTAGATGCTGCTGTTAATTTCCTACAGCTCCATGTTTGTGGCTTTTTTTAAGAGAACCAGCTGACTTAGGGTGGCAGAAATCCTGTGAACAATGGTCTAGCAAACTGGAGTTCACTCCCATCCCTGTGCATGCATATTGGCAGTCTGTGGTGTATAAATGTGATAGAGCTGTTTGCAATCACTTTAGCAGGGTGTACCTTGAGTCTAGCCCCAGCACATCAGGGCTTTCCACAAAATAAGCAGCTATTTTTATTTCTCTTAGTGGAACCTGTTAATTTATGGTGCTTAATCTTTCATGCTAGTATAGAATTAGTTGCCAGGCTCATTAGACTAGATGGTTCATTTCTAGATTTTAAAAAGTATTATGCTGTAATTTAATGTACTCTTTGTTCAGTGGTTTTCAGATGTCTTGGGGATTAAGATGAGCCCTTGGTGAGCAGACAGATTATTCCACATCTGCCAACTGTGAAGTTTCTTGTACCTTTCTCTGAGGTGTCTGGTGCTGGTCACTGTCAGACAAGGAACTGGACAGATCACTGGTCTGACCCAGTATGGCAATTCTTGTGTTCCTGAATATACAGAGTTTATTGTGGCAGTCTCTGCTCCCATATTATCAGGGACTGCGGGTCTTAAACCCTGGTCCACTGGCCTCTTAAGAGCTAGTAAATTCCAACCTGCCATCTGGGGACCGGCGAACAGTTGCTGGGATAGAAGCTGAACCCTAACAGAGGACTCGAGTCCTGGACTCTGACAGAATGCCGGGAGTCCTGATCAGTTCATGGCTTCTCTGTAAACCCAGCATAGGAACAGGAAGTTGTCCATGCAACTGGGTTCTCCAGTAGGTCAGACTGTGCACTTCTCAGTCGTGACACATTTATGGAAACTACAGCAAATGTTTTTTTGAGTATTTTTCCACATAAGATGCATAAAGAGTATTAAAGTTTTCATGCTGTTTAGCAGCTGGGAGTAAGGAGGAGAGCCAGCACTCTGAAGCAATGGACTGATCACATGGAACACCTGCGGTTCCATGGGCCATAGTTTGGGATGGTCTTCTGTTTGTTGCTTAAAATGTAAACAGAACTTCATTTTCCTTCTAGTCTCTCCCTCTCCTCCTTCCCCCCCCCCCCCCAAACCATCTGGCATGGAGTATAGATCAGTCTGAGGTATGTGTTTCCCTTTGAAATAGTATCCATTTGCCCCCACTATCTAGTGAAAGGAGTTGATAGGGAGTGTTAGAAGGATACTGTCTTTGCCTTTTTTCTTGTAACGAACCAGGCTGCTCTTTGGATTAACTGTGTGTTAAATTTTGTGCTATCGTAGGAGTGATCCTACAATGAATGCCTCATGGGTGGACCCTGGCACTTACATAGGTGCACATGGATTTGAAAGGGATCCCATGTTGGTGCAGGAATTTGTTGCAGAGTTGGGCCATATTGACAGTAAATTCCTGAAGTAATCTTGTCTGTAAACCTATACTAGAACACCCCCAAAACCCTTTCTTTGTGAAAGAAACATCTCCTATTGTCAGTTAGCCATCTGCTCAGTTTTTGGGTCTGTGTGTTTGTTTTGTCTCAGGTCTCTGCTCAGGAAGTCAAAAAGGAAAATCCCCTCCAGTTCAAATTCCGTGCCAAGTTCTTCCCTGAAGATGTGTCTGAGGAGCTGATCCAGGACATCACCCAGAAGCTGTTCTTCCTGCAAGTGAAGGAAGGGATCCTCAGCGATGAGATCTACTGCCCACCTGAAACAGCAGTTCTTCTTGGCTCCTATGCTGTGCAAGCCAAATTTGGAGACTACAATAAAGAATTACACAAGTCTGGGTACCTCAATTCAGAACGCCTGATCCCTCAACGGTGAGTGTTTTAAAATAAAAGGGTAAAGCTGCCCTAAGTCTTCCAGTGTATTCCACTTATTTGAACTCCCTCAAAAAATGGTATGATCAGAAGGCATGACACTTCAAAAGTTAAAGCCTCTGCATCTCATTGTCCTCTGTTCCATCCAGGCTGCATGCGCACGACTGGAGAGCACTACTCAATACTTCCTTTCATCAGAAAATAGATAAGGGAATATTTTTACTTCTTTCAGTTAGAGTTTGGATCCCCCTCTCCCCCAAAGCCTAAGCACTAGCAACTGTAAGCAGGTTTTGAGTGGGGAACAGCAGATTGCCATTATGAACATCCCTGCCCCTGGAGAAGTTCTGTTTGCACGTCGTTAATTTTTAAAATCAAATTATCCCAATGACACACTCTCCAGCTGCAGAAATGAACTTCTCTTTTTAACTCACTCCTCCAACTGTCTCAGTGGTGTGCGTTTTTCTTTCCATAAACTGTTCCACTTGGTCAAGGGGTCATGTGTTCTACCTTCATGCCCTTGTGGAATGAGACTGTGGCCTTGGTCAGTGACAGCCAGGGGTTCTTGCTGGGGAGAGATGGGCAATTACCTATGTTCCACTTCATGAACTAGTCCTTCTCCTAAAGGCATTTGTTCCTGGCTGAAGGGGTGAGGTGCGGGGGGCATTTAGGCTTTTTGTGAGGTTCATTTCAGCAGCACATGTGCACTTCCTGTAGAGGGATACCAGTTTTGTTCAGAAATGCTACAGCAGTAATCTTAAAACAGCTTTATCTGCAGATCACAAGAGTGGGGGAAAAGTGTGACATGCATAGCAAAGTTAAATATTGCAACTATATGCAGCAGAACAAGTAACCTAATACTTCTAACTTCCTTCCATGTATCAGAGTAATGGACCAGCACAAACTTTCCAGAGAGCAGTGGGAAGAACGGATTCAGGTCTGGCATGCTGAACATGGTGGAATGCTCAAGTGAGTACCTCTATTGGGCTGTATCTAGGTCATCTTGATTTGTTCTGTTAATCTCCTTAAGCATGCAGTTTTATTACGTATTTTTAAAGTGGAATCTCAAAGTAATTGGACCTGGAAATAGCTAACACTTATTTTGCAATCCAGCATGGAATAACGTGAAAATTCAGTAGAATTGGAAACTAGTTTTGTAAAGTGTACTGCAGCCAGGCTCAATGCATTTCCAATCCGATTAACAAACTTGTAGGTCGGCCTTGACTACTCTGATGTTCATAAAAGTTAAGATGACGTGAATGCTGGCACACATGGAGAAGACCTCAGTGAATGAATACAACCTTCTGAAACATTCATGTCGAAGGCTTATTGAAAGTGCCTTTAAAACAAAATACAGTTAGGCTTGTAGAATGGAAAGTCAGGTGTTACATTCTTCCATTGTCCACATGTTTGTTGGTTGTCCCCTACCCCACACCATGACAGATGAATGCTACTGACTGAGAAGTCATGATTTAGGGTTTAACTAAACAAGAATGTATTATTCTGTTCAATAATAAACTAAAACACATTCAGGACTTCTCCTGAGCCCAAGCATCAGAACTGGAGTTAAGAGCAAACTGTCTGTCCCAGAAGCAACTCCTCTTGTTATCCCACTTGCACAGATGTTTCTTCCACTAGCTTTGGCTTGTAATTTCGAAGCAGTTGGTTATCTTATGTATATATTTATACCGTTTTTTTGTTTGTTTTTCTTCTTCTTCCCACCTCAACCAGAGAGAATGCAATGCTGGAATATCTAAAGATTGCCCAAGACTTGGAGATGTATGGAATCAACTACTTTGAAATCAAGAATAAGAAAGGAACAGACTTGTGGCTGGGAGTAGATGCACTGGGCCTGAATATTTATGAGAAGGATGATAAGTAAGTGTGTGTGTGTGTGGTGTGTGCCTGATCCCTCCAAAGGACAACGGGCTGGTGCTGGAGCCCAAAGAACTTTAAATTAGTAAAATTAGTGCTTGCTTGGTGAATGTCACCTAAGTTTGGATAGCCACAGGGTAAAGTTTGTGTTGGGAGGCAGGGCAAGGCTTGTATTTCACGTGAATCCTGATTTGCCTCCTCTTTCCCTCACAATGTGACTGCTTTCCTCTTAGGCTATGCACCAGCATGTAGGAAACTTGAAATTATGTTTATAACAGCTCTGTAAATGTAGTGCATGAAATCATGGTACTAAACTGCCAGCACTGTTAACTTCCATTTCCGTAAACAGCTGTAAAATCAGGCCCTAAAGAATTATTTTAGGGAAATATCAACACTGTCCAAAGTTAGGGGATCAGACACCACAGTAGTGGTTGCAGCGTAAGAATCTAGAGACCAGATTCTCATTATGCACTCCCAGGAACTGCCTTTTTCAGGGATGAGTGTTAAACACAGTTGCCAATAATATAAGAGCTAATTAGAGTGCATTCTTTTAGTGTGTCCGTAGTTGCGACCAATCCTTTCAGTAGTTGTGGGCTCACTAATAATGGAGTATGAGAGGGGGGAAAAGAAGGCTGAGAAGTAGACTGAAGATTAAAGAAGAATAAAGTTTAAAAGGAAATGAGTCCTGTTTGTGTGTATCTCACTTTGCTGGACTCTAAAAAATGAAGCACAGGCCCAAAGTGCAGCAAGGTGAAATACGAGGAAGTTTGAAATGAAGGATTCTGTGTCAAGGACTTGGGCTCCTAGTCTTGGCTTCATTTCTCTGAATTTCTAATGTAAATTATAAGCCCTAATAATAGTAGGGTAGCAACAGGTCCATAGGGGGTGGACAGTAAATCTGGGTCTAAAATGACAGTTGAGATGTAGCATTAATGGGAACTGTTTGGAATTCCTGTTAGGACTGCAGAGGAAAAGAACGCATTTCTCTTTGCTGTGTTAATGTGTGCCGTCACCCAGAAAACAAGGAGTGTCACATGAGATATTACATGAGTGAAACTACCTTTCTTTATTTCTTGAATTACTGGTTTCGCTGTGTGACCATGGTTACACAAACAGGTTTTTCGAGCTGCATAACCAGGCAATATGTAGTCGTGACCTCTGAAAGAGAATTATGTAGAAAAACTTACAAAACAAAACAAAAAGTTAGGCCAAATGATTTGTTTTCTTCAACTTTTTTGGTACTATGCAATTGGATCTTTTGAGCACATAATGTCAAGACTAGGAAAAACCGTGGCGTAAGTAAATCAGGACTGGATGCACTGGCAGAGCTTTGGGATTGGGATGGGGGAGGTTGGGGAAAATTTTGCAAATTTTACTCTTACTGTTGAGTAAGACATTACTGCTTATTAAATACAGGAGTCTGTGCTATATGTCGGTACCTATATTTAAGGGTGAATACCAGTCCCCCAAAACTTGATTTCTACTACAGTATTTAAAATGTGGGGTGGGGGAGAGAGAAGACTACCATTATACAGTACTACATCTGGAATTTATTCCACAAGGTATCAGTGCCACCTCAAGTGCACTGTATTACTACATGCTAGTGTTAGATTTCTCATTTAATTTAATATTTTGGAGACTGGAGCAGTTATTGCCAAATCAAAACTTAGGCAAGCAAATTACTGTGTGTGTATTCAGAAAGGTTAAGAAATGCTACATTTTAATAGGTGTTCATTTTACTTTTGCACTGGTTTAAAGGCTGGTGCTGGGAAGTAGGCTTGGGCCCAGTGTTTTTACAATCCTGTGTTTAAATGGTAGGTAGCTTCCACCATTTGATACAAGGCTTGGACGAATTTGCCTTAAATTGCAAGCTCTTGTTTCTCTGGGCCTCTTTTCCTTTCCTTCCCTTCCTCATGTATAGTGCTTATAATCTTGAAGAAACTCCAATTATTAGAAGTAGTAACCTGGAGTTGTTAAACATTAAATATGTCTAATACACTAAAGAGGTTTTTTTCGGTACTTTGATATCTCCATTCAGTCATTGAAACTGTTTGTCATCTTAATGATGGATTACCGCATGCACAGCCCCCTCCCCCCACCACGCAGTGTGCTATAGAACTTGTAAGAATCTGCTGTCCTTTGAGCAAGCACTGGAATTCTGCAAGCTTAATTGCTTCACTTCCACTTTGCTTCATTAAATTGTCAAGATGGAATCTGCTTATTCTCTATTTTAATTAGAACAGAGCAATTAAACTTGTGCTTGTCACTTCATCTAGCTAAAGCGAATTTTACACTGGCCCTTTCTTGTAAAGGGACACTGAGCAGATTTTGGCTCAAAATTTAGACTGCAAAAATAACTTTTTCAAATGCTAATGAAAACTGGTTTTTAAAAACAACTGCACGTACCCCAACAGTTTCTGAACACGGATGTTGCAGTATTGGGCAGACATATGAGAACCTAAAAATGAAATGGACTAGAAACCAATTAGATTTAGTAATTTCTCTTTTGATTTATCTTATTTTTCCAAGCTCAGAAATTCAAAAAGTAGTTGGCACAAATAGTGAAAAGTTAAGATATGGACTTTTTTGTTTTAATAATCTGAAGTCTTTGTATTGCTGGGAGGAATTCTTGTTTGTTTAAAATTGACTTTTAGCCTACCAGTTTGTGCTTTAACTGCAGGTCTGTTTTCCAGTGGCAAAGAACTGCATAGGACTGTTAGCATATGAGAGAGCCCATGGTTTAAAGTTCTGCTGTATGACTTTTGGGCAAAGTCCTTTGTGCAGGTCTCAGGCAAGAACAAAACAGAGACTTTTGTCTCCCGTCTCTCCAATAATCTGGGGGAGGGAAAGAAATATAAGAGGTGTCTGCTTCCCTTAACTGTCTCTAATAAGCATGCTATGGATTTAGGCCCCAATTCAGAAAATCTTCTTTAAGCATATGATCATGGGACTTAGCCACTTGCTTAAGTGCTGACCTGAATAGGGATACTTTACAGAACATGGGCCGTAAAAGATTAAAAATATGTTCCATTGTATATTTTATTAGTCAAAAAATAGATGTAAACTTCTGAGGCTGTATCATGCCAGACAGTGTTTGTTAATAGTTTTGGAAGGGCCCTATATACTTCAGTGCAAGGGGGGGGAAAAAGTATTACACTTTTTTTTTTTAAAGCCAAGATTTTCAAAAACTGGTGCCTAAATTAAGGCTCCTAAATCCATAGTTAGATACCTAAATAAAGGAGCCTGGCAGTCAAACGTGCTGAGAACGCAACAGATCTTGCAGTAGTCAAATGGAGCTGTGGGGCCTGAGCACTTCTGAAATTCAAGCGCACATACTCTTGCATTAATGACCACGTCACTAGGCTGGTTACTTTGAATTAGGAAAGGGAGAGCCGCTGAGTTTGATAAGGGATGTTGAGGGACATATCTTCCCATGGGCAGGAGCAAACGTTTTTCTCGTGTTTTATTTAGTATTTCAAGTTGTCTAGTCTGGTTTAGAGTATGTGGCTCAGGGCCCCCCTGCAGAGGAGTGATGTAATGGCACATTGTTTCAAATTCTGGAAAGAAGATCAATTAATCACATCTTGTCATTTGGTTTGTGTCTTGGCTTCTTTTAAAACCTGTCTTTGTTTTCAGATTGACCCCAAAGATTGGCTTCCCCTGGAGTGAAATCCGAAACATCTCTTTCAATGACAAAAAGTTTGTTATAAAACCTATTGACAAGAAAGCACCTGTAAGTACATCTAGAATGAACTCTTGCATATCCTGTTTAGATTGTTAAATACTTTTCATCTCCATGCCATAAAATACAGGTCTTGTACTCCTTCATAAAACCTTGTTCATTGCATCAGAAACAGTATATACTACCACAGAGTATTCATCAAATATTTCTGCCCATAACTAAGGCTGCAATTCTGTCACGGAGGTTGCGGAAGTCACAGATTCCGTGGCTTTCCGCGACCTCTGTGACTTCTGCAGCAGCCGGTGCGGCTGATCCCCCGGGGCCAGCTGCTGCTCGGGCGACCCTAAGCTGCATTGGCCCTGGGGAGCACCCAGGCAGCAGCTGACTGTAACTGTTCATCTTAGAAAAGAGATGACTAAGGGGGAATATGATAACTGTCTATAAAATCACAAATGGTGTGGAGCAGGTGAATAGGGAAGTATTAGTTACCCCTTCATGAAACACAAGGACCAGGGGTCACCCAATTAAATTAATACGCCACTGGTTTAAAACTGACATAAGGAAGTACTTTTGCACACAATGCGCAGTCAACCTGTGGAACTTGTTGCCAGGAGATGTTGTGAAGTCTAAAAGTATAACTGGGTTCAAAAAAGAATTGGATAAGTTCATGGAGGACAGGTCCATCAATGGCTATTAGCCAAGATGGTCAGGGATACAACCCCATACTCTAGGTGTCCCTAAACAACAGTTTAGACTGCCAGAAGCTGGGACTGGATGATGAGCTGGATCACTGTAACTGCCCTGTTCTGTTCATTCCCTCTGAAGCACCTGGCACTGGCTGCTGTCAGACAGGATACTGGGCTAGATGGATCTTTGGTCTGACCCAGTATGGCCATTTTATGTTATGTTCTAAGGGGGTTGGAGTGCAAAACGACACTTCAGAATTATAGAAATCTTCTTTGTCTTGCTATACTCCACATACCACCATCCAAATCACTCACCACTGCCCCACCAAAAAAATATTCTCTACAATTCTATCTCACGCTGATATCTGAGGTACTTTTCAAAGGTGATGTCTGAGTTACCTCTTCATAGACAAATAACTTTTGAGTTGTTTTAAAAAAAAATTCTCCCAGGGCTTCTCTCTCACTTCTCAGAACACCTGGAGTTGCTGGATAATTGTTTTTCTATTAAAGGCTTCTTGTGATGCTACTCTAAAAGTGAACATGCACAGCATTCTTACTAAGGGTCTCAGGAGCACGTCACTCCAAAAGTGCACATCACACACCAGATCATTGCATATTTTGACTTCTGAAACTTCACAATTGTTTGGAGACAGATTAGGGGGCAAATCACATTGGAATTCTGATTCCAAGAAAGGAGCAGAGTCTCTTAAATGAGCTTCTAGACTTTTTAGCGTATGGAGAAGCAAGGACATGGATACCTGAAAAGAGGTAATTTAAATACAGTATCTGTGTGTTTAAAATACACCATGAGCATGTTTTCCCAGGTAACTGTAGTGAATTTACCAATATCACTATTAATTATCAAACCATGAAGAGTGGAATAACAGGAATAGGTGAGGCTTGTTCTGACAGTCCTGTCAGCTGTTGGAGCAGGAGAAAGACTTCAAGAAAGGGCATGCTCTTGCAGTAGCTCATCTATTAACAAGGCGTGGGGAAAACGCAGCTTTTAGAAACAGTCAGTTTGGTTTTGGTAGGGCTTTTTGAGAAAATTGTGGCTATGGAGTTAAAAGCAACTGACTCAACAAACTGTTTAAATAACGAACAGCAGAATATTGAAAAACTGTCGGTGTGAAATCCATCCTTTTTCTTAGAAACAAATCTGTTTTATAATGTAATTCATGGCAACCACCAAAACACTGCCGCACAGTAAAGGTTCACCTTCCTGTACATGCTGGACTTCTCGGTAGGAAAGCCCTTTTGTGATCTCACTCATACTTCATGCTGAGTACAAAATGTTAATCTCCTGTTTGTGATTCAAGGACACAGCTTTCCACTCACTCTCCAGCTGCAAATCTGAATGCATTTAAAATGGAAACTTGCAGGAGACTAATACAGTGAAGCTGTTACTATTGAAAACACCTATTATGTCTGTTCCATTCGGTTTGGAGTGCCTTGTATGCTCTAGATGCTGCTTGTATTCAAACTTTGCTACAAAAAAGAGAAGCAGAGGTCTTGTTTTCTCTGGACACAAGTTTTGAGTTTCCAAAGGCAAACTTTAAAAACAAACCAACAAAAATAACAGCCCAGCCCTGGGTACCTACTAGTAGAATCCCCAAAGTAAAAATAGGATTGCCATTTTTTCTCTTTATATTGACGAGGCTTTAAGTTTACTAGGAGCAGAGTCTGACCCCTGAGGCACCTAGTGCTGTGGAGATTCTTTTTGAGTCTATGTGCCACTGATACTGAATAGAGATGGAAGATTTTGCTGGGGGTATCAAAATACCAAGTGAGAATGCACATCTTCATGTCAAACCAGGGTAGGGTGGGCCGGAGTTCTTCTGTGCCTCTGATTATAATGTTCACTGCAAAACTCCTTTGTTCTTACATTAATTCTTTTTCCCTTAGTTACGAGGCTATAGACGACAAATGTGGGCTACCATCCGTGACTTTAGTATTTACCTTCTTGGAGTTAGACATTGCTTAGAGATGGAGGCCATACCTGCATACAATACACATAGCTGTTTGGCTTTTTTTGAACGTTGGCCATAAGTGGAAGCATAATGAATAATTTACAGCTGTAGACCGTATCAGGCATGCCAAAGACATTGTGATCTGAATAGTTAAAAAAAACCAAACAGACCACCTTGGTTGACTTCAAAGTCTGCATCCTTCAGAGTTGGTATGTGAATAGAATCATAATGGAGGGTTTGTGCTGAAGAGAACTTATCCTTGCCGCCAGGTTCTTGCTGAATTTGGAGTTAGGAGCATTTTTTATTATTTCTGGAGTCACTTCCAGTGTTAGTCATAGGTCCAAAATACCTTCTGAACTCCAGGTGTAATTGAAATGTTTGGAGTGGCAGTCATTGATGTCTGAGACCCATTCTCTGTAAATGCACAGCTCTGATTCTTCTTGTGAAAATTCCATCTCATATGAACTATGAGGCACTCCACAGCAGGGCATTTCTAAGGGATTAGTGCATTTCCCAGGCGACTTGTCATTTTATCTGTTGGTCTGTCTGATCACCCTATGCAAAGCATGCTGTAATAGCAGAAATGCAATGCTTTCTTTATTGAATAATCAGTGTTTCTTGAGTTTAAAGCCTTACTGGAGCTATAATTGTTCATATACTTAAAAAACGATCTGGCCCAGTAACAGATGAGGAATTCTATGGCTTTGGGCATAGCCTTACTGAAGAATTTACTTTTACCTGTTTACCTTACCTACTGGAAGAATGAGTTTTATTCTAATAAATGGATTGTTGTTTGATGCAACTTGGTTGATTGGATTTTGTTCCATCCTTGTTAACTCGGAAACCTTTCCCTGTTCTTTAATTCTGTTGGTTATCAGTGCTGCATGTAACCCAATGCCCAAAGCATTACTCATGTGGTGTTGGCAGCTGGGGAGGGTGATAGAGTAGCTCACTTATACTCAACTAATGCTCAAAGCTCTGATCACAGCACAAATCTTCTTAAAAATGCCACCAAGAGGCAAAGACAACAATGCAGATGTCATGAATGCAGAAATCTTGCTCCTATAAAAACTCCCAAAGTTTCTTTTGGCTAAGTAGCAAAAGGAATGAGGAGTCTCCCATCTTCATTCTAGAGGAGGGAATTAAGGTGTTTCTCCTCTCCTTTTCCCCCCCCATCATCTAGGAGGAAGGGCTGCATGAATGCTTGATGGTGGCAGTCCCTCAGTAGCCACTTCAGAAGTGGCTATGGACAGTCATTTGTCAAAGTGGTGGTTCCATTAGTGTGTAGCTACACTTATCCATGTTCTATATTTTGCACCTATGTAGAGATACCATTGCTGGGACTCCCAGCAAATATTGATACAACTATTGTGGCTGGACTCTCCAGTACAGGAGACTGTCTGTGACATAGCTTGCATAGCTACAAACATTACTAAGATAAAGATGCTACATATCTTACTTCAGAGTATAACCTAATCGCCTTCAAGGGGCAGGAGGGAATCTGTCTTCTCACCCTTCTAACTGTCCCTTCCTCCTGAACCATCCCAACCCTCTGAAAAGTATCTCATGGTACAATTGGCTGAGTGTGCTGACAATTCTTCATCTTTGTCTGAAGAAAGAGATAGTAGCAGGTTCTAAGACACTGAATTAGAGGGATCAGTGATATGACCTAAGACTGTAAATCCTTGTGGTATTTTTTTAATATTAATCATATACTATTACGTTTCAGGCCTCCCTAAGTCTTATTTCCATTCATAAGATCTTCTTGCCCACTTTGTATACAAATGAATAACACAGTAATCACATACTGTCCTATCTTGTGTAATAAATAGAGGTGGGTGGGTTACATGGCTGCTTAGATATCCTCCCAAAAAATCTGATTGACTTTCCAAGTGTTTCAAACCTTAGGAAGCTCCTTCTGTACTACCGTCACTCTTGAATCGAGGTATTTATGGGAGTGTTGTTACAGTCACTGGGAATACGTAATTGAAAATGCAGCTACTATTAATATATAAATGCCTGTGCATGTGTTTGGATTGCAATAGAACAGTGGCCATGTGATTTGGTTTGCCTACAATAAGTTAGAAGTGCTTTATCTCCTTCCATAGGAAACCATTGCCTCAGGGACTGAATTCCATTGTTCTGCCTCTCTTCCCTAGGACTTTGTGTTTTATGCACCTCGTCTAAGAATTAACAAGAGGATCCTGCAGCTGTGCATGGGTAACCATGAGCTGTACATGCGCCGCAGGAAGCCTGACACCATTGAGGTCCAACAGATGAAAGCCCAGGCCCGTGAGGAGAAACACCAGAAACAGTTGGAAAGGTGAGCTGAACTGGACAGAGGAGGGTGAGAGCTCAGGGGGAATGTGGGTGACCTGAACGGAAGCAAATTGACAGGATTAAGCATTTTAGTTGAGAGACAGCTGAACTGTAGCCAATAGGGTGGGGTTGCACCAAAGCAGGAGGTGAACCATTGAGATGCTGAGGGCTACTGCCCTCATCCCACCTTAGCCAGAGGGGAGTATCTGGCCCTGGATTCTAACTTATAATAGAGGGGGTATTGACTAAAGGGAGAAGAAACAATTCAAAAGAACGTAGGACTTGCCAGACTGGCTCAGACATGAAGTCCGCATGCCAGTATCCTATCTGACAGCGGTCAGTACCAGATGCTTGTGAAGAAAGTACAAGAAACTACATAATGGGCAGTTAGAGAATAACCTACCCATAGACAAATTTCCTCCTACCCCATTTGTTGGCTTCTGCTATGGAGCATGAGTATTTATATCCATTAAAGTCTTTGTCTATCTAATGTAACTGTAGGTATTTTTCTTATCCACATGGATTTCTAATCCCTTCCTTGAATTCTGCTTAAATTTTGGCCTCAATGAACACTAGAGGCAAGTAGGTCTGGCGGTTGATTGTCTTATAGGAAAAGTGTTCCCTTCTGTCAGTTTTTAAATTTGTTGTCTTTTATCTCATATTATGAGAGGATATATAGGAACATGTGATTTGCCTATGCCTGTTACTTCTAGCAGGTCTTTTGTTTAACTCTGCTCTACACTAAATGGTACCAATCTTCTCAATGGTTCTCCGTCTGGAAGTATTTACATGCCTCTGATCATTTTTAGAGAGACAAGGTGGGAGAGATCTGTTATTGGACCATCTTCTGTTGGTGAAACAAGCCTTCAAACTTACCCAGAGCTCTTCTTCAGGTCCTCAAAAGCTTGTCTCTCTCTCACCCACCTTGTGTCTCTAATATCCTGAGACTGACACAGGGTCTACATTGCATCTGATTGTTTTTGTCAGCTGTCTGTGAATCCTTCTTTATGCAGTGGGATATCCAACACTCAACACAGTGCTCCTGGGTAGGATGTAGCATTGACTTGGAAAAGAAAGATGGAAAGTATATAACTTATCCCATTCCTTAGTAGTAGTGATAGTATTACCTGGTTATGGGCCAGGACCCACTGTGCTAGGTGCTGTACAAACACAGAACAAAGACAGTTCCCACCACCAAGGACCCCCTAACATAGTTTTTGACTGCCATTCACCAGAGGTTTTCACTGAGCTTCCTACAGAGATGCCTAGGCCTCCTGCAGCATGCATGCAGTTCAATGGAGCAAGCAAACTCCTACATTCCTAAGTTCTAAACTTGTTATTTCTCTCTAACAGGCAACAGTTAGAAAGTGAAAAGAAGAAGAGAGAGACCATTGAAAAAGAGAAGGAGCAGATGTTGAGGGAGAAAGAGGAGCTGATGTTGAGACTGCAAGAGTACGAAATAAAGACCAAGAAGGCTGAGAAAGGTAAAGGGCTTGCACTGGTCAGCAGGCAGGGTACAGGTGATCCCACACATTGGGCTTTACCCTTCTACTTGACAGCTGCCCTTATCTTCAAAGTGTCACAAGATGGAAGCATTTATCTGCTGCACAAAACGGGCTTCTACCAGTGCGTCTGTGCGCCTGTGTAAATACAGGGACAGTGAAATCTTTCCTTTTCAGTATAGTGATCACCAGCTATTGTATAGAGAAAGTAGATGTCATGAGACCTTTATTTTTTGGTCTGGAAACTGAGGTTTAAAACTGAATGTTCGCTTTCCCATAGGAGGAAAGTGTAATATGGCCATTTCCATCAGTGACTGACTCAAACATTTCTCACTCAAGTAGCTTTTAATGGTCCCTCCCATAACTCCCCTGCCAGGATATCTGATGCTTTGTTAACAAGACATCAGTGAAATTGGAGTCTGGGTCCTCCCTACCTCCAATGTGTAGAGAAATATGGAGGACCAGAAGCAGCAACATCCAGTCCTACTCCATAAACTGGTATTCTAAGAGTTTGGAATTGCCATGTTTTCCTCAATATGGAGTAAAACCCACAATTAGACTCTCATTGCCTACATTCTGTAAAGGGAATATTACCTAGAACATAAGCTATGGACGTCTTGCGTATGATGTGTCAGGTAACTGCATTTAGACTTGTTCATAAACCAAGTTGGAGTTTGTGGATAGAAGACTGGAGTGAAGTATTTCTTAGTCTTGTTCCCATAAGGATTTGCACCAGTGTGCAAAACCCCTTTTGTGAAGAGGTTAGTTAAACTCAGTGACTTATTACTTTCCTCTTCCTTTACAGAGCTCTCAGATCAGATCCAAAAAGCCATGCAGCTTGAGGAGGAGAGGAGGCGAGCAGAGAAGGAAGCTGAACGTCTGGAGGCCGAGCGCTTGGCTGCTCTCCAAGCCAAGGAAGAGCTGGAGAAGCAAACTGTTGACCAGATGAAGAGCCAGGAACAGCTGGTAGGAACAATAGGCTTTTTGAGTCTTAGTGTATAAAGCCTTGAATCGTATATTTCAGTTAACGTGGGCTTGTTACTGCATATTTTTAAATGAAGTCCTGCATACAAGGAAATGAACTATTAGGCCAGAGGAGACACTGCAGTAGCATAATCATGGACTCAATTTTGACTGGGAAACTTTTCAAATGATATACCAAATAAGTGCAAATTGCCCATAACTTAATGGAGTCTTTATCACAGTGGAGGAATCTATTCACAAAATCATGTAACATTTGGGTCATGTTTCTCATTCACAAAAGCATTATTGAAAGAGCTGCAAATATAATTCTAGTCTTGCTATTCAATAGGCTACAGAACTTGCAGAATATACAGCCAAGATTGCTCTTCTGGAAGAGGCAAGGAAGCGTAAAGAGAATGAGGTTGAAGAATGGCAACACAGGGTGAGTTTCTCTGCTTTCCTAAATTGATCCAGAGCTTTGGTACATTTTACTAATTCAAGTTTAATCTGCTTAGCCTTGTACAACACCACAAAAGAGAAACTTTAGTAAAGCCTTAATGGAAATGCTGAATTTATGAATGTAGCTATTAACTTCCAACCCAAAGTGCAATGTGTAATCTCCCTCCTCCAATAAATCTGACTCTTCTCAAAACTCTAACCAGTGAGCTATATAACAACTTAGAATGCAATCTTAACTATAGAGTCATGATCGTAATATATTTGGGCATCTTGGGATACACACGTTCATGTATGAAAATGTTGAATGAAGGAGAGAGTAACGGACAAAGTGTAACAGCACTAATGTAGTGGTCCCAATAACTTTGTGCTATTGGAAAGTGCCTTCTTTTGTCTTGCCATGGGGGACTGAAGTATTCATAATGGAATGCAGCAGAAGTGAGAGCAAATCTGGAAGATCCTTAAGTGTGTAGTTATATTTATGTGCCCACATAAGTTCAACACTATATCTGGAAAACATTTTCTCACTCTTTAGTTTTCTATTTTGTCTTTGCTATTTTGCACTTCTAGGAAAACAACCCTGCAGCATTTTGTTCACGAATAATTATTATGTAGAGGAAAATGTGTGTTCTTAGAACTTTAACACTGATTAGAGATCTGATAGCAATCCAAAAGTTTAGAGCTGGCTGGGGATATTCTGGATATTTCAGAACTTCAATGAAAACTGGCCAAACTCTTACAAACAGTTTTCCATTTTTCCCCAGCTACCTTTGAAGTTGAAGCTTGCCACAGTATTACAGCCCCCTTTCTACATTTGCTGGATGCTGAGTTCAGTTTTCCCACAAGACCATAGCTAGCCCTGGGGAGGGAAGAACTGTTTAGCAAGCAAGAAGTCCAATTTCTTGCAATTTACACACCTCTTTAAAGTCCCGCAATTTAGGAATGTCATTTCTCATTGTATGGACTTCCCAGCTAAGGCTGACTAACAGCTTCTTTTTATTTGACAAGTAGTATGTTATAAATGTGGATTCCATATTCCCCTACAATACTAGTAGTTCTTCAGGCATTGTTCTATGTTGGAGGAAGACTCTTGCTTAGTGAAATTACACTGGCCTCATCCACAATCCCAATCAAATTTTGTTTTTTGTTTTTTTTTTTTTTTTTAATCTCACCATACAGAAGAGTATATTGAAAGCATTGTCTCCTGGTTAGCAAATATCCAACCACTCTAACATGCCCCTTTCTTTCTGTCCCTTCCCCTTTGGGTGCGACAGTGTGTTCATTGAGCTGGGTTTAAATAAACTTCACATCTGCTTTTGTGCCCATTTTTTTGTTTCCACTTTTAAAGGCCAAGGAAGCCCAAGATGACCTAGTGAAGACAAAAGAAGAGCTACATTTGGTAATGACTGCCCCACCTCCACCGCCAGCCCCTGTCTATGAGCCAGTGAATTACCATGTCCACGATAACTTGCATGATGAAGGAACAGAATATTCAGGCTACAGTGCAGAGTTCTCAAGTGAAGGCATCTTGGATGATCGCAATGAAGAGGAACGCACTACTGAAGCAGAGAAGAATCAGCGTGTTCAGAGGCAGTTGATGGTAAGAAAACAAAATTATTGGGAGAAAATTTAAATCTAATGTTGCTGAAAATTGAGCCCTGTTTAAATGCACGGCTCTCCCAAAGTGGTTTATGTAAAATATTAAAGGCTCATCTATATGGAAACTTCATGTACAGCAAGCAGTGTGTAAATCTGCAGCAAGCTGTGGGGACCCTGCTACTGCACACTAAAAGTTCGTAGTGCACTTTGACCTACTGCTGGGATCTGGACTGTGCACTGCAGAACTGTTTGTACATGGCAGCAGGGTCCACGTGGCCAGTTAGCGTGCTGTAGATTTAAACCCTGGTTTGCCATGCACTAAATCTCCATGTAGACAAGCCCTACAAGAAGTCTTGAACATAAAGGCATCTGTGTCTGTACTTTAACATGATTGATTTTCATGCAATCCATACGGGCTTTTCTTATGACTCAGATGTAGGGATGCACTGACGCTTCTGGTTCTTTCAAATAGCTAGTGTTCAGTCAGCACATTGTAATACTCAAATGTCCAGATCTCCAGTTCACCCATTTCCTCAATACTCTTCTGCATCCAAAGATGTTGTCAAAAGCCTCTAAAACATTTTTAATGCTTGACTCTGGTCAAACTCTTGAGATCCAGGTCTTTCATGTCTGACCCAGATTTGTGACATCCTGTACTCAATGTTGCAGACCCTGACAGATGAGCTTGCCCAGGCCAGAGATGAAAACAAGAGAACCCACAACGACATGATCCACACAGAGAACATGCGACAGGGACGTGACAAGTACAAGACGCTGAGGCAGATCCGACAGGGCAACACCAAGCAGAGAATCGATGAGTTTGAGGCCATGTAAGCGCACTTTACAGCCAAGAAGGCAAGACTATGAGACAGGCCGATCTTCACATACGATCTGCCTTTTCTGAGGGGTCACTGTATAACATCTAAATATATATATAGATATCAAATGCTCTAAACCTAGCTTATCCTCCAGTTTTTACTATTAAAATGTGGTGACTGCCCATTAAGTCCGTCAGCCAAGCAATTCTGATAACTTTTTGCTCATTCATATCCTAGTGCCAAAAGGCCTATAAGTCACGTCCATTTTTTTCAAGCAGGGTTTATTTTAATACTACGTCTTTCTATCCATAAAGATATTATGCTGTGATAGGTGGTACATCTGGATTCAGCTTTTTAAATAAAAACACAATGCTGTGGGTGAATTTTGTGCCATATATCTTTACATTCTTTACATACAGCATATAACTCGACTAATTCTACATTATGCTTTGTCAGCAAGGACTTGCAGGCCCTTGTTTATAATTTTACAAAATGGTACCAGCAACCATCTGGAAATCTGTTATTTCTACGTACGATAAGTATGAGGGGTCTTTTTTGTTGCTCTGTTCAACTGGAGAAATTCCTGCAGTGATCACTCAGACGAAATGCAGTATAGGAACACTCTTTGACGCCCTCCTTGCATAGGTAGGCAAATATTCTGTTGGACTCATACACTTGTTGATGTTATATACTCCATCTTAATTAATGATCAACTGTAGTGTAGTATTTATATATAAATAAAGTGATAAATATGGATTGTAACACTAGTTTAAAAAGGGGGAAAGTTTTTGCTCTGTATATTTTGTTACCTTTTTCAGATTTAGTATTAAAATAAATTGCATATGTAAAAAATTTTGCCTAAACAATATACTGTCTGTGCTACAGAAGCAGTGTAAAACTGATTACTTGCTATAAAACATTATTTGTAAAATGATTTTTTTACTTCAAATAAAATTGATATGCACAATTCAGTATATACAATCTTACTGCACCTATTTTTTCTAACAAATTTTCTAATTTTTTTAAATATTTGATTTAATATTTCAGACTCCAACTATGAAGGGATTGTTTGTTTATATCCCCCTCTTATTCTGTCCATGAAAAGAGCATTTGTAGACTTCCTGTTACCTCCACCCCCATCTTTGAAAATTTGTTAGAATGTCAGTATGTTGGTTCTGCTCCTCAATTTACAACTCCAATGCTGCTTTATACTGTTAACGTTAAACCTTTATATCAAGGTGTTGTGGGTTTTTCACAACACATGAATATGAATAAAAGATCTGCAAGATAAAGGATCTGAAGTTGTGTTTTGTGTTGTGTGGGGTGTTTAACCCCAGCAGAGCAGTGCTGTATGTATGCTAAAACTACAGTGCAGCTCTACATTTCTCACTTTGGAAATATGAACTCTTACATTTGCAGCTTCACAGTGAAATGTCCTTGGAGGAAAACACTTTCTTTTAGTGAGGGTGTGGGAAGAGGAAGACCACTGCTTCTTGCAGTAATGTGTGATCCGGGGGCAGGGGTGAAAGGGATGAGACCTTTCAGATAGAGCATTTTCCCCACTTCAGAGAAAATGCATCCACCAGGAAACTGGTACTTCTCTTGATCTTAGACCGCCTCTACACTGGGAAAACTTCACACACCAAATTGCTATTCGTTCTAATGTAGGCTTGCTTTCTGCGGCTAACTAACACAGCAGTAAAGATGGCTTCAGCCACAAGAGCCTCACCTGTCTAAGCCTCCCACTAAGACTTACAAAATTTGCACCACTTCAGATGAAGACATGTAACCAAAGGCAGACCTATGAGTTCTCCAGTGTGCTGCCACTCCATTAGGAGTGGGTTGTGAGGGGCACCCCATTTGCTGAGAGCAAGAAAATTGCTGCATCACTAACAGCATGCTCACTCCTCTCCTGCAGCTGCCTTTGTCAAGTCCTAGGGCAGCTTCTCAGCATGCCCCAGAGCTTGGCTCTGTGATAGAAGTGACATTTCTGCAGCCCTCCTGAACTGGCTCTACAGCTTCGAGCACTTCCCAGCCTCTGGGGCTAAGAGCTCTGTAGTTGGGGAGACAAGAAAGTAATTAACAGCAACCCCTGCACCATTTACAAACCTCCACCCCACATTCCCATAGCCTGGAGCAGGTGTTTCCAAACAGTGATCCATGGACCATCAGTATTCCACAGATCGCTTGCTGGTGGTCTGCAGAGAGCTGGCTGCCTGCCAGCTAACTTGCATTAAAAGATAGTGTGCTTTCCTTCTTGTTAGCTACTGCTGTAGTTGCTACAAGGATGGGCAGTTGTTAATGACCCCATCTTTATTAAAACATGGCCACACTATGGGGGAAAAACTAAATCTCTGCTCTAGAGTATTTGGTCTTGAGTCAGACTCCCTTAACATGCATATCACATTGTCCTTTCTGTACTGAGTGCCAAACTCTCTTGCAGTCCCAAGATATCAAAGTGACTAACATCTGGAAGGATACCTTATGCTCTCTCCCTTCAGCAGTCTCCTTCTTGACATCTTTTTGCTTTTCTTTTGGTAACTGTACTGAAAACAACTTGCAAGCCAGAATCCATCAATGCTTCAGGTGTCATGGTTTCCTAAGGGAATGTGAAGAAGTTTCACCTGTACTCAAACAGATGGCCTTTGACCATAGTAACATTTTTGGCAACAAATGTTGAAGCAACTCAGCAACTATTGCTTCTCCTTTTGTAATATTATAACAATGCATCATTTAATCCCAAAACACCACCACCACATTTGAGCTGGCTGCCACTGATAAATGTCTTACCAGAGCTGCTCATGATGAAAAATCACCCATAGGATTTTTTAATTAAATGCTCCTGGAGTGTAACAGTTTAATATTTTATTAGTTTTGTAATTATTCTAATTACACAGTTCTGTTTTACGTATAGATACAAGTGGCTTACGTGTGGAGAGCTCTTTTCAAAGGATATGTTTCTTTCCAGAAGGCAGACATGACCAGAGAGTATGCCGTGCTGCTTAACCTTGAGTACAATGCTTGGGCAATTCTTTCCTTTCCAACTGCTCACACATGGAAGATATGCTTGTCACAAGGGTGCTATTAGGACTTAAGTGTCCGTATTTGAATGCAGCATAAGTGTAATATCTATCCAAGTGTTTGGGCTGCTGAGTATTTTCTGCCACTGACGTTTTGCTTGGGGGTCTGAATCCCAGGTGCCAGATGGTTCTTCTACAGGAAAGTTGAAACAAAAGGGTAAGGCTAGATGTACATGAGCATTTCTGCCCTAACATATAATCTCTGTTCTCCATTATTTCTTCTAATGCTTTGTGTCTCATTATGTAAGGCCATGCTTAGATCCATGAGTATCAAACTATTTAATTCAGTACAATGAAGACACCCTGTATTCTGCAGCAATCTGGATTTAAATTCTGCATTAAGGACCCTGATGGCTGTGTCAGCTCCATTTATATAAATATGGGAAATTAAAATCAGCACAGCCATGGTTGGGTTTATTAAACAATTTATCTGATTGTAGCACTCTGCTGTATCACAGAAACTGTTGGTGAGGAAGCGGGTTAGGGCAGTGGCTGTCAACCTTTCCTGACTACTGTACCTCTTTCAAGAATCTGTCTTGCATACCTCAAGTTTCACCTCACTTAAAAACTTGCTTACTTTCTCATTTTTACCATATAATTATAAATCAATTGGAATATAAATATTGTACCTACATTTCAGAGTATACTAGATAGAGAAGTATAAACAAGTAATTGTCTGAAATTTGTTTGTACTGACTTTGCTAGTGCTTTTTATGTAGCCTGTTGTAAAAGTAGGCAAATATCTAGATGACAATGTAGCCTTGGGAAGACCTTTGTGTACCCCTGGTTGAGAACCACTGAGCTAGGGTGTTTGAGCTTCTGGTACCCAGGAAGGCGGATTAGGATAAGTACTCTACCTAGGTGCTTCTGCTAAAATAATCAGCAGTGGAAATAATTAAGAATGGATATGTACTGTCACTTATTTTCAGAGTCCCCAACTCAGAGATGGAGCTGTTAAGTTAGGAGAGCAGGCATTGGCTTACATGCAGCTCATATTTTTAACCATGAAGCTTACAGATCAGTTTTAAAGGAAGAGGTGGCTTCTGCAACAACTTCCATGGCTAGAGAATTATATTGCACTGTCCTATTTCTTAACAGAAGAATCTCTTGTCTTAAAATCTACTTCAAAGCATGAGACCCTTTTGGCACAATTGCTCTGAGTAGTGCTCTGAGAGCAGGCCTCCACTACTCTGCATTGGAGTGAACCTACAGGGTCGCATGCTGGTGCTGTATTTGGTGACAAAATGGAAATACAGCAGCTGTGTGAGATGTACAGAAATGCAGTTGAGCAGATTAACTGTTTTTCAGTTTGCACAGCGTGTATGGCAGATGGGCAAACGAGACTCACAGGTGTGGCTACACAGCAGCTGGAGGCGTGCTTTGCGGCATGGGTAGACAGCCATGTGCTAGTTCTGCTCAAGCCAGCACGCTACAACTAGCAATGTGGGTGTGGTGGCATGTGCCGCAGCTCAGGCTAGTCACCCGAGTCCAAACCTGCCCAACCATTAGGTACGTGCTCACGTGACTAGCCCAAGCCTGCTGCATGGACCACCCCAGCCCCTCTACAATTTTTAGTACCTTAGCTGGAGCAGAGCAAGTCTTTGTTTGCCTAGCTGCCCCATAGACATACCCTAGAGCTCACTGAACAAAGCCAATGAGGCTGAGCCTTTGCCAGATGAACTCATCCCCATAGGAAAAGTCTAAGTAGGTGAACTTGAGGCACCTTTGACTGCAGTGGAGCAGAGACATAGCAAGGTTATTCAAAGGGCCTAGCTAGGTGGAAAGAGAGACAGCACATATGACAGAGGCTTGCTTATCATTAAGGCTGGCAGGCAAGATGATAAAAGCTAGGTTATCCAATGCTAACACTGCTACTTGGGCCTATACTAACCTTTAGAAAACTGTCCAGTTGCCCCTGAGGAATTTGCTGCAGCACCTGCCCCTTGCCCCGGAAGCTAAGATTTCATTCAATAAAGAGATGATTGGAGCCTTGGTAGTTAAGAAAAGCTTAAAAATATGAATATAAACTGGTGTAGGGCTGCCTGCCTGAAATGCTGCTTGCTCCCTTGAGCTCAATGGGAAGTTTTCACATTGTGGCAGCAAGTTGAACTCTGAAGCCTACTGATGAGGATTTAAATCTGGCCACTTAATCATTTCTCTGCCAGTTATTTTAAGGGAATCTGCCACAAAACCAAACTATAGCCCTTGCCTTCCTGGGTGCCTGACCCTCCAATTTCCCTCACCCAAGCCACCAAAGTTCCAGCTAATCCCCACCCCCAACAACTTTCATGCAGCAGCTATATTGCAAAACTCTGCAGCAGCTTGAACAAAAATGGGGACAGAAAAACAAATACCCATATAAACCCTGGGGCTATGTACAGAGGGCATTTATTAATCACGTTCAGATTTAATGCAATAAATCTCTCCATTTTAAAATGTAAATGAAGCAGTTGCAGAATTTCCTAAGTGATGCAACTAGCAGGGGGTCCTTGCTAGGTCACTGGTAACCAAAAGTGAGTGCAGTGTTGTGAAGCTTTGAGTTCTGTTAACTGGGTGGGCTTTGGTTTTAAAGCATTAATTAGCCAAGCTGTAAAATGTTAGGGGTTGACTTGGTCATGTCAAAGGCAGGATGGTTGTGGGAAAGCCTGGCAGGAGCTAAAGCAGTCAGACAGCAACTCCAAGTAGGAGTGGTTCAAAGGAATTCTCAGGCCCATTCTTTGGTAAACAAGCTAGAAAGCACGACTGGAGTAATGTCACCTGATGGACAATGGCTGATGCCAAAGCAGCAATAACAGGCTCCAGTGAGTCAGTTCCAGAATAGGGTGATTTGACAAGCAACAAGTGGTTGGGCTAGTGGGTGTGGTCATCTGCTGGACAGCAGGTGAGAGTTTGACAATGGGTGCATATGAAATTAGGGGCCCACAACCAGGCAGAGGTTAATAACTACAGAAAGAGAGCTCAAACCGAGCTTTCTGAAATGTTAAAGAAGAACAGAGTTCTACCCTTGCCTCTTCTAAGATAAATTATGCAGAAGTTACCAGTAAGGCCCCAACTGGGCAAACACTTATGTGCACATGCTTAAGTTTACACCTGTTCTATTGAATGGGACTAACACATGTGAAAAGTTAAAGGCTAAGTGCTTGCAAGATTGGGACTACTCCCCCTTCTTTCTTCAAACTTGTCCTCCACACCTAGCTCTATCATGAATCTGT